CTTGACTCTCTAGAAGAAAAGGTCTTATAATCCTGATACAGAGCTGTCAGCCAGTTGGTAGGTATTAGAAAGCTTGTATGAATTCCTCTGGGGAAGCCATTGAAAGTAAAGTCAAAACAAAAATCTGACCTATTAAGGGACAGACCATTCATGTATTATGATTTCAAATAAATGAACCCTCCAGTGATGCCAGGAGCTAGCATCCAGGCCATCCTCTGCCAGCCTCTGTAACTCTGTCACTTCACCCTGTGCTTCAGGGATTTATGGACTAACAAGTTCTAACAAGACGTCAAGTGGAAAAGAAAAAAAAACTAAATGTAAATGAGAATTACCAGAACCTTTGTTTGTCCATCTTCCTAAGTGCCACCCCATGAAGCATTCTGGATTACAAAATTGAGACCAAATGATGAGGAAGACTGAGCTACAGAAGAGTTCATTTAAAAAGCTAAAAGGCTAAGTCATCATGTCAAAAGAATAGTACTAATGACAGACTAGAACAGGCACTCTTCCAAGTGTTTTACCTATTTCATGGATATTTTAAAATATGTCTGCAAATTGACACTCTTCCCCTTGAGAGGTAAGATCTATGTTGCTTCCTCTTGACTCTGGAAGAATCTTAATGACTTATAACCAATAGGCTGAAGCAGAAATTTGCTGCATAGCTTTTGAGGCTAGATGAGAAAAGGCTGTGCAGCTTGTACCTCGTTCTGTAGGAATCTGTCTCTGGGTGAAGTGAGCTGTAACCACCCTGAGACTGCCCGGAGAGGCCGTGTATATTGCTCCAGTGGACAGCCTGAGCTGAACACCCAGCTGTCAGGCAACATCTACTGTCATCCATATGATTGAACCATCAGGGACATGCAGACCATTCAAGTCTTCAAATAACTACAGTCCCAACTCACAGCTAATGATAACTGCATGAGACTCTAAATGGGAACTACACTGATGAGACATACCATGTGCCTGACTCACAAGTCATGAGCACAATAAAATGGTTGTTTTATGCCTCTAAGA